ATATAATTTTGTCTATTATACCTAAGTAAAATTAGAAAAAAGGAGAATAATAAGATGATCTAATTTAAAATCCATCAATACTTACTTAGCTTAGTATCTTCTAAATAACATCTTTCAACTGTATTACAATATTTGTCCAACAATATTCCATGAAATGTATTCACTACAAATGCTGTTACAGTGTCAAGCAACCAAAGAATAAGTGCTTGGCATCAGTTATGATGATTGGTTTATTTAGCAAACAATTATTTATTGAATGTTTAGTATATTTCTAGCATGGCACCAGTCTCAGTGAATAGACAGGCAATTCAATGAGAAATTATCCTTTCCTTCTTAATACCAGGTCACACTAGCCTGCATTTGTAGGACCAACAGGTCATTATGATTTACCTCCTTGAAAAGTCTCAAGGCAATTCTTAACCACTTACTTCCTGGTTCACTCCAAGTCTTAGTAAAGGAATGCAATGAGCAATTCAACCTATTGCTTTTTGACTAATTCTTTTTTTTTTTTTTTTTTAGCTTAGAACAAGTCATCTCTCCCCCATATTCCCACTTTTTTGAGTGGTTTCCTTTTTTCTCTGCCTCTTCTCTCCTTTATCTCATACTAAGGAAAGCCGCCCAGTTTTCCTGGGTGACTTTTTCATGGGCTTTATCATATCCCACTCCTAACTTGGAGGACAGGTGAGGAGACAGACTCTTGGTCCCTGACTATGTCTTCTCGTTGCTGCCTTTAATGTGAAGTTAATATCGCCCATCCATTTATATCACTTACTTCTAATCATCCCTGGTTTTGCATTATTCTTTAATATTCACTTTTACCTTCCTGAATGTATCACTTGGCTCACATCTTTTCTTCCAACCATTTATTGTTTTCTTCTTTGAAATATAAACTACATTTGCTATTATGGGAAAGAAAGTATAGTGGTTAAGAGCACAGATTCTGGGGTCACACCATTTGGGTTTGAATCCTGATTAACATTTTAACTGTGATTAAGACAATTTAACATCTCTGCGCCTTAGTTTTCTCATTTGTAAAGTGAGTAATAATAATATCTACATTATAAGGATTACATGAGTTAAGACCCATATAACACTTAAATAATTACTGGCACATTAGAAAGCACTCTAAAATGCCATTATCATGATGACCCTTGGCAGCATTAATATCCAAATTTTAACTATTGACTTTCAACTTCTGGACATATTGGCATCCACACATAGTTCTACCATGCACCAACTAATTTACTCCAAGATTTCAAATGTTTTATTTCTCTCTAAGTATAAAAATCCTTCCTTAGCCTTCTCACTCTTGAAAACTCCCAGAACCTTTTCTTTTGCCTTAAATCATTAATTCTCTCCAGATTATTCCAAACATTAGCAACCTAACTTGGCAAGCTTTAACTCTCATAATTTCCTAATATGAGTCTTAATTAGTCTAATCTTAACCTCTTCTCTCTTCTTTGAACACATACACTTAAAATCTTTCAATGCCCAGAGATTGATAATCTTACTTGTCCTTTAGGAACTAAATTTATATCTTCCAGGAAGCCCTTTCCTACCATTTTAGAACATACACATTCCATCTTACGACCACCTTCCCTCCTGCTCAAACACACAAACTCACAAACCTCACAAATCGCACATACTTTACAGAATTGCTTACCTGGGCATTTAGTGAGAATCTCTATTTTACATGCATATATGTTACCTCCTCCACTATTATTAGCTCCTTGAAGGTAAAAACAACACTAATTGAAGCTGACAATATGCGCAGCTAGGCATTCTTTTAAAACTTTACATTTATTGACTCATTTAATCCTTATAACAACCTTAAGAAGTAGCTACTGTTATCCTCATTTTATATCTAAGGCAGAGAGAGGTGAAGTCAAAAAAATACCTTTGGCACAGATCTAAACATAAGGTGTATATAATTACTGAGTGAATGAACTTACTCATACAGTTTTATAATCTTTAGTTCCATGAATGAGGTATCAACATTTATCCTGAGTCCCTCTTTGTAAATACTGCCAAATAAAGGTGCTTCATTTCTACTACTCAAGACTAAAATAGGACATGCCAAAAGTAGGGGTCCAACAAACGCTTTCTAAGAGTAAATTTGGGAAGGCATCCTTCTATGGTTTTGGATGCTAGTCTGATAATAATGGTGTGAAAGCATTTGTAATTTAGTTAGGGAGCACTTGGTTCTATATGTACTTTTTGAAGTAACTTCCAAGGATTACATAGCACTTATCATATATCTACTTGTGCACACAATCTCTGAAAAAGAAGCATTGCAAGTAAAGAATATCTAAGCTATGTTGACTGACAATCAGCTACTAACTACTTGTGTGCCCTTTGGAGACTCAGATTTATGCGGGATTTCTTATCTGTAAAAAGAGGAATCTGGGCAAGAATAAACTGGCCTTTAGGGAATTCTAAGCAGTCATTCACTTTTAAAATTAGTCTCTTTAAGGGTGACTGTAAGAATGAAGGAAAATATATTAATGCAGAAGAAAATTTTCAGAACCAAAGTCAGATGGGAACAGTAACTCCAAATGTGCATTGGAGAGCTGACTCTCCCACACAAAGGTCCTCCAACTGTAACTAGGACTAAATGATGTCAATGGGGAAGTTAAGGCCACTCGAGGTTGTCCCATTTTCTCATGTACTCTTTTCCACTGTCCTTCAATTAATTTAAAATGCAATCAAACACCCCTGAACCTGAATGCATAATGTTCAACATCAGTTAAGTACATTCATCCTTTGTGGGGAAAAAAACATTCTAGTAATATACAAAGCAAATATTTCTATGAAGAATTAATTTCAGTAGGAGGAGTATAAATCTATGAATAAATAGTTGAGAATCATTTTCTTCAAAAAGGCATAATAGTTGCAAAGAATCACCTGTTAGGCTTCTACAGGGAATTCTGTTGTTGTTAAGTGTCATTTAGGTGAGTATTACTTTGGTGTAAATGTGTATTTGAAAGCCCCTTGTAGATACAAATTCCCCACTCCCTCCCTTCCTACTGATAAGTACAGGACTCTTGAAATGCAAAAACTCAATAGAAAGCAGACATTTACATCTTTGGTTTCTTGTCTAAGTGTGACCTCAGAACTCCAGAGGTAACCCTAAACTCATTTCAGCTCATTATAAAATACTTATTGCTAGAATTCAAATGTGAAATGATCTTTAAATGTATTTTTATCTTCAAATATAAATGTGAGTGGCTGTTTAGCATTTAGTGTAGCTAGAAAGACAAATTAGAAAACATTTTCTATGAGAGTACAAGTCTGAAATACACTGGGCAAGCCAGTTCAAAATCATTAGATACATATGTAATTTAGATGACATTAAAATTTTACTTAAAGCAAAATACTTCTTTAGAAACTATATTATTGTGGTGTCCAAACTTTTCATTTTCTTTAAACTGCTTACTCCTCTATTCTCACACACTTACAAAAATATCCTAAACAAAAAAATTGTTTAGAATTACCATTCTTCAACTATTTCATAAATATTCATGTAGGGAAAAGACAAAATCACGTAGAAAATTTGTAACTGCATCATATATATGCATATATATACATATACAATTACATATATATAATTTTGATTTTTACCATTTTTCTTGTCACCAAAAATTTAAATTTAATACTATATATAATATAAATATTTAATTAAAACAAAGCTGTTTCTTTAAAGCTACATAGTTAATGAACAATAAGAGCACTGTCCCCAAGATTAATATAACTTGTGTCTAATATTGAAAATGTTAGTCCATCAGTATGCAATTATAATATCCAACGACATTCAACTTTGAGTACTATCAATAAAGACAATATGGAAAACAACGTCAGCATGTTTTAAATTATATGGAAATGTCTCCATTTCTTAGAAGGAAGTGATAACTGACATCTATAAAATATTAGATGGTCTCCATCTGCAGTTGGACCAACCATAAAGGATCAGGGGAAAGGAGCCTACCTTCCATTGCCCTTTTAAAGAAGACCTTACAGCTCCCGCAGGTAAGGACACCATAATGACATCCGGATGCTTCGTCCCCGCAGATTAAGCAGATCTTCTGAGGTAAGGACTCAAAGCTGTACTGTGGACTCTGGCTGGCTTCTGAATCCGGCCTTGAAATGCAAAACAAAGTACTCCAGTTATTTTTAGGTGCAACACTATCTAATAGCAAAGTTTTCTTAACCCCAGAATTGACAGAATGAAAGGGGGTTTTAAAAAATAGAACTATTATGTACACACTTAAAAGACATGCAAATTAAATTTGCAAAGTAAACCCCCTATTTGATTCATCAGACTTACAAATTATTAGCCTTTCATCAGTCGCCCTGAGGCAAAAGAACAATAAATAACATACCTTTTTGTTGTTGTTGTTCAGCAAAGCTCAAGAGTACTTAACTAATGCTTTCAATGTGAGTTTTAGAACTCAACCCTGTAATGATTGCTTACTTAAACCAGTTTCTGTGTCATTTTAAGGTATTGTTCAACATAGTGACACCGTTTTGCCTACTCACAGCACTTAAGATTCTCTTTTTACAATTCCATTCCCTCAGTATGTAAGTCACATTTTTTTGAAAACCTGTGCAAAAAGTTGAAGTGAATCCAAACCAATATTGGAATACACCGCACTGCAGTGATTGATATTGACATCTCTAATTTAAGCACATTACACAAATGAATTTTAATCTGGAGATTCGTCTGGGTATTGAACGGGTCTGCTTGCTACCCTCCATCAAGTGCCACCCGGCAGGGGGAAAGGTGCCTGACGGTACGTTTTGAGGACCATCTAAACTCCAAGCCGGGCATTTCCAGCAAAAGACCTAGAGGTGAACCCTATGACAAAGCCCCCGACTCGCGGCACCCGCGGAGCTGGTGCGACGCTGCCTATTTTAAGTCAGGGCTGGTCCTGCCTGGGAATCTCGCATATTTGGAAGAAAGAAAAAAAATGTTTTCGGGAGGCACGCTCCCCAAATGGCATATTCGGAGCACCCTTTGTGTCCCCCCCAAAAACAAGTGAGCGGAGGAAGGAAGAGAAAGGAAGCCAAATTCCGGCGGCGCCCCGCCCCGGCCACCCAGCCTCCCGCGTTCAGGGCTGGGGGAATCTCGCATATTTGGAAGAAAGAAAAAAAATGTTTTCGAGAGGCACGCTCCCCAAATGGCATATTCGCATATTCGTTTGTGTCCCCCCCAAAAACAAGTGAGCGGAGGAAGGAAGAGAAAGGAAGCCAAATTCCGGCGGCGCCCCGCCCCGGCCACCCAGCCTCCCGCG